ATTTTGACAATTCACAGTTCATTAAAAACAGATTAGTCCATAAAGCTCCGTGTGTTATAACAAATCTATTAGACTCTTTTCAATTTTTGACCACATTTAAATTACATCAGGAAGCCTGCACCATGATGCCAGAATCATATATCGGTATTGGCAGATAACAGCTTGGAAAAACATGATCAGCACTGGACACGTGACAAATAAATATTTGCATGTTTAATTTACCCTAGAAGTGCTCAATATTTAAGCGACACTAAATTATTTGCATATTACATTTATTTTACTGCACTTGTAACCATATATTTATCTGTAAAGCGAATCCAGGCAGATTTAGCCCCAATTTCTACATGTTATAAATGTTTATGTAGGGGTAACAACACTGATATCAGCAGATGTGCACATGAGTCAGACATCAGCCTAAAATTCCCGTATTAGAACATCGATAATTTTGGCTTACTGGAATGTTCAGCTCCTTAAAATCATCGCTCGGGTCGCTATGCAGTAATGAGAGCGAGGAACTGAAGCGTGGGCCCTCATGCAGGTCCTGAGGGTTTAAGGGGTTAAGTGATGAGGGCGAAGCTGTTTTCTGCAACTGATAAAACAAAGCAAACAGGCTGAGATTTACCCACAGCAAGGTAACAGTAAGAAAAGACTAAACAGTCTCCGGCTTTGCCTGATAGCTGCATCGCACTACTGACCTTCAGCCAGGAATTAAGGGGCCAGTGCAGATCTTTGGGGACACTACACTGTTAAGGTGCCGAAAAGCGTTCGCAGAAGAACCACCTTACCTAAAGAGAACCATCTAGCAACTTTTAGTTTCAAGAGTGTAGGCCGTCCTCTCCAAAAAAAGAACACATTTAGCGTTGTTGTTGGGTTCTGTTACAAAACCTCTCTGAGGTATTAGCATATTTGCACACGCTTGAGAATAAACTGTGGTTGTCCACTATTTTAACTGCTGCTATAGCTGTTGGCTTTTGGAGAGGCCGTGTCTCTTTCTGGGAAATAAATCAGTCACTTCCTTGTAGTACATAGTTCTGACCTCAGTCTCAGTCGGGAACCCGCTGGGGCAAAAAGAAGCGCTCTGTAGTGAAACAGCTAACCAGCGCATGGCTATTAAAGTGGGCAGCTGTCCAGGCTTCCTGGTTGCCTGAGAATTTTGTTGGTTCATGTAATGCATAAGAGAAAATCTCAGATATATTGGAGTTTTTGTTTGCAAGTTTTTTTTGGATCACTGATTCCTCCTTGGCCTGTCAAGGCCTCAGCAGGGAAGATTAGACAATAACAGCATGAACTCTGCTCAAAAAAGCTCATTGTTTGATGCCTTTGTTTCTTTCCTCGCACTATTGGCCATGAAGGTGGTGGTTCTCCGTGGTTCTTGTCTTGAATGTACAGTTCTGGGGAAAAAATCCAACTGGTATAGAACCTTTACATTATGTGGATGTTCTTTGAGCTTTAAAAAGGTTCTTCACACTCATATCTCATTCCCACAAGTATTTTCACAAGAACCACATACTGAAAGGTTCTTGGGGGAACCAAAAGTGGTTCTTCTAGGGCATTGCTGCCAAAAAACTCAGTTTGCTTCACCCAAAGAACCATTCAATATATGGTTCTTTCAAGAATCAGACAAGAATTGTACAAGTAGTATACACTGAAAGGTTCTTGGGGGAACCAAAAGTGGTTTTTCTAGGGCATTGCTTCCAAAGAACGCAGTTTGCTTCACCCAAGAACCATTCAATATATGGTTCTTTCAAGAATCAGACAAGAACTGTACAAGAAGTATACACTGAAAGGTTCTTGGGGGAACCAAAAGTGGTTCTTCTAGGGCATTGCTGCCAAAGAAGTCAGTTTCCCTCCCCCAAGAACCATTCAATATATGGTTCTTTCAAGAATCAGACAAGAACCATACAAATACTACACACTGAAAGGTTCTTGGGGGAACCAAAAGTGGTTCTCCTAGGGCATTGCTGCCAAAGAACTCAGTTTCCCTCCCCCAAGAACCATTCAATATATGGTTATTTCAAGAATCAGACAAGAACCATACAAATACTACACACTGAAAGGTTCTTGGGGGAACCAAAAGTGGTTCTTCTAGGGCTTTGCTGCCAAAGAACTCAGTTTGCTTCCCCCCAAGAACCATTCTATATATGGTTATTTCAAGAATCAGACAAGAACCATACAAATACTACACACTGAAAGGTTCTTGGGGGAACCTAAAGTGGTTCTTCTATGGCACTGCTAGAACAAACTCATTTTGCAGCTTTATTCATGCCTAAACTATTCAAATTTGCCTCAAACTGGATTATATGTATTAAAGTCAGCACAGCATGGATGAGCAATGATAATACAATGCAGAGCTTACTCCTCCATATGTTTATCATTTCTTCACTATCTAACCTCCCCAATCCTCTGAAACAGGTTCCCTCTTTAGCGCAGAGTGGATGTACAGTATGTACGGTTTCACATCGTCTGTGTCGCAACAAAACTTTGTACCTCCAAAATGCAGAACAAGTAGAGTTTGGACCATTTCTAGTTGTCTATTCATCCTGACATTGTAACACAATGTAAATAACAGCTGGCATGTTTAAATTCTGTTATTAAAATAAAGAAAAACAACAAAGAAATTCAGGATTCCACGCTTTTTCCAACAGCAAAGAGATATTAAAGCATAATTAACACATTATGCCTTAATCATAGTAATGGAGGAAAGCTACTCCCTGCCTTTAACTGAAAAAATACTGTGGCTTAACTTGGAAAATGCCAGTCTTGGACATGAATGAATGCCCTGTATGTCAAAACAGCATTGTGAAATGAGCACTTAATCACTGTGGGCAATTTAGTGGCTTTGCAATAAAGAAAACTGAAGGTGATTCCTGTCCTGGCCTGAATTTAATATTCTGAATCAGAGCGACGGTCCAAAGGAGGAAGCAGACTGTAATAAACTGATTTCTGTGCATCCCATCTGTCAATATTGGCACAGTGCACTGTTTACACACAGGACACCCCTTAGTTGACCCGACTAACACACTGAATTATTAAGACTCTCTAAATAAACAAATCTCAGCAGTAAACAGCATTACATGAGCATGCTAAATAGGCCAATTAATGGTACAGCCCAAGACTTTGCGTGCTTTGCACTACTTTGGCAGACGAGGCAAAGTGATCCGTCTGGTATAGAAGTGTCCAAAAGTCAAGTTTATTTTGGATGCTTTGAATCATTTACTGGTATCCCAATGCACCCTTACTGTAAATATGAATAATAAATACGCCTACCGCGAAGTCTTCAGTGCACCTGAGATGGAAACCTGGGCTGAGGTGGGAGTGAATGAATTTGAGTTTGAATATCAAAGGATAAAATAAAATATAGCCCAGCTGCCATGAAGGTGACCACCTGGTTTTATAAACCTAACAGGCGCCGCTTTCAACTAACGGCAGTTCCAGAGCAGCCTGGTGAAAAGCTGAAGCACATCCTACAAATTCTCTCCAAAGTGTCTCCACTAACAGCACAGAAAAGTGCTGAAAGTACACTAAGCGCTGAATGAACTAACATTGTTGAAGTATCATTCACAGCATTGAACTAAAGTAGAACTTACTGTGTTGCACCGTGTTAAAACAACTGCTTCGATGCTGAATGGACGCCTATAGAGTTTAATTAAAACTTACAATTTATAATTAAGGCATCTACATTATTGAATTAACCCTTAAACCCTTAAACAAACACCAGTGTTGAAGTAACTTAGTTTAGAATGAACTCTTACAGTGCTGAATCAACACTTACAGTGTTGAAAAAATCCACCTACAGTGCTTCATTTACCTTTTATATATATCTGCATTGAATTAATATACAATCTTAAATGAACGCTTATAACGCCTACACTGTGCTGAATGGCCATAAGTGCTAAAAAGACTCTTTTAAAGGCTCTTTTAAACTCCACCGTTTTTCAAAACGTCTGCATAATTAAATCGTAAAGATGTGAGCAAAGTAAATCAGAGTGGTTTGGTGTGAAACGCTCTGCAGAGTCAGAATCGTTCACAGCGGTGGTGATAGGAACCAGACGTCTGAAGTGCTCATTGCCTGAAAGCCCCCTCACCGAAAGTTATTATACGAAATGGTTATGAATATGCTGCCTGATGCCTGAGTAATTGATTTTACGATAGTTTTGAGAAGGTTTCGGCCTAAATTATTATTATTATTATTATTATTTTAAACATATTCATGACATAGAGGTACACACAGGGCATTTTAAGGAAAATCAGTACCCAAAGAAAACTTATTTTTTCAGCTTTACCACTATTTTACCATCATTAACATTACATATAAAAGCTCAGAAGACACGTGTAGGTGGTTTTGGGTAGCAAATCAAATGGCTAGACATTGTGACCCCTGGCTCCTATCACCACCACTATAAAATGACCACTTGCTCATTTTCTCCAGTCAAGAATTTCACATCAGACCAGTTTGAATGACTTTCTTTCACATCTCAATGACTGAAATGTCTACACATTTTGAAAAATCTGTGGAATTCCTCTTTAATGTCAAATGAGCACCAACAGTGTTGAATTAACACCTACAACGTTGAAATGTAACTTATCCCTTTAACTTGGTCTCAAATGAAGCGTGTTGAATTCACAATTACAGCGTCCTGATGGACTAAAGTCAGCACTGTAGCTTTCCTACTCAATACTGGGTTTTTTTCTGTGGGAAAGGAGCAGATTAAAACGAGGAGAAAGCAATCAGTCCTAGCCAAAACAGCACTGCGTGCTTGGACCCCTAATGTGAGCGCTCAGAAATCCCCACAGCAGAACTTCCGTCCCGTTCCCACACCGCGCTAACACGCCTGCTCATCCCCGAGCAGAGGCAGCCACGCGCGGCTACGGCAGGTCCCCCTGTCCCTTATGGTTCAGCCAGAAACCCTGAACGCAGGTATTTAGGCTACGACGGGAGTCAAACACAAGCCAAAACGTGGCATGAAGCAGCAGTAGGAGCTAATTCAGTATCTCCATACCTTTCTTTTCCGGCGTCACACACCAGCCTGAGGAGAGGAGCAAGAAGGTGAGAAGGAATCCAGTCTCAGCTGAGTTTGCCATTTCGTCCCGTTTTCTTTATTCTTTCTTTTTCTGACCGCTCAGTTTCTCCTCACAGGGGTTTGTTACTCCATAATGGCACGGCTTCTCCGTTTGTAGGAACGCTGTGTGACTAAGTTGGTCACGTACGTCTTGTGGAAAGGAGCTCCGTCTCGACTTTAAAGAACTTGGAAACTTTTGACAGCTCCTCCTTCGCGCTCAGCAGAGAGAGAGAGAGGAGCCTTCTGGTGGCCGGGGCTGAGGCGTGACGTCAGCAGCAGTGAAAGGAGGGAGGACTTGAGCAGAATGGCTTTTCAAAACAAGGTAGGCTGGGACAGCCTTCCATACAAACCAGCCCCCCCACCCCCCCCAGAGACCCCTGACCATGTTTTCTTCCCTGTCGAAGCTCCTCATGCACCTGAACCAGGTGATTAAGTGCTGCAGGAATCTTGATTTTCTGGCTAAGGCGTGAACGAGAAGGTCAGCTTCTCATGGGCCCCACTGTGACTGCCCTCCCTGCCCCCCCCCCAGTTTCGCCACTGTTCATGATACCAGTAGATTTGATGTCCACATACCTTCCAATAAAGGGGGGATTTCTTCTTAGGCAAGAACAGAATCTACACACACTCAAGAGCACAAAGGTGCGAACAACAACACTGCGGTTTAAAAACGCAGACTTTTGCTTAGGGCGTTTCTCAAGAACACATTTAACCCTCTATGATGCATGAATTATTACTTAAACATGTTAAAAATGTTTTAACATGTTTTTGTTATATAAAATTGCTTAAATAATTGAAATATTTGAAAAAAAAATGTGTATATTTTTCTAAAGTGGGGTATTTGGTAAAATGTTGCCATATGGCAACAATGCGCAATCATGCCATAGCATCATAAAATCTAAAAAAAAAGCACCATAAAATCTCATTTTTCTCTAAAAACATACTTTTTTTTTGAAAATAAGACCAAACAAATCCAACGTATGTACAAATGAATACAATTTTAATTGTTATTTGGAATGTATGGTAATAGCAACATCATAATAAAAATTCCTGGTCATGTGATGTCATGAAGTATTTGTCCTTTCAAAGTAAAAGACCCTTTTCCCACAGTTAAATAGGAAAACACAGATTTTATATTACTGGTTTTTAGTCAAATTGAGATAAAGTAATTGTTGCCATATGGCAACACCGTGCAATAGAGGCTTAAGACAAAAATGGGGATGATATTGGTGAATGAGGCCCAGTGCTATTAAACAAACATGCTTTATCTGCAGAAAATGCTGCATTTAGGGGAAAATTCTTGTTGCTGTCCATTTATTTCTGTATTTTTGACAGTTTCAGGTACTTCCTACCCCAAAACACTCAGCTCAGCACACAGCAAAGCCTACAAATATACCACAATCATGTATACTTTTAGAACCCAGGCTACAGCAGATGGGAGGACAAGGTTCAGGTGAAGGCTGTATTCTTGGCCCAATCTGCTTCACTTGTGCTTCTTTACTGCAGTAAGAGGGGCCTGCTGGCTCCGGGCTCTTACGCCAGCAGGCAAGTAACAACAACGTAGGCCATTACAAAACAATGCTAGGACAGAGCTTCTGAAACCAGCCCTCAGGGAACTCCAGCCAGGTTTTATTTTCAAACACCTGAACAAGATAACGAAGAACTGCAGAGCTCAACCTTTTAACACTAAGGCAACACTTTGACTATTTCTGTTTTTAACCTGGTAGTATATTCAGAGCAGATTTTAATGAGTGAAAGGGGCAAATACAAAGACTGTAAGTGGATTGTCAATGACAAGTTGGGTCATTCTCCACTTGGAGTGGGAATTCAGGTGGATACATTTAAAAATAATACATTTCTTTCATCCCAAAACTAAATCTCCTAATATCATATATTCAGAAAGGAGAGCTTAATTCCAAACATATTTTACAGTCACTGGTGTTATATGAATATGGTGTAACACCAGTGACGGTGACTCCAGTGACATTCTGGTTAAAACTGAGGATTTTGTAAATTGGCTGACTCACTGGTTGATCAGTTGACCTTGTGCAACAGTTTAAAATCAGTAATAAAAATGATTTATTTTAATTACCCAGCCATTAAAGCAAGACACCGATGACACATAGAAGTTATGTACTGTCTGATAAACAAAATTAATAATAAATAATAAAATATAGTGAGCAAGTGTGACTCACCTTCTCATGCATTGAGATGCTTCCTCTCTGATGAGCCTCGACCCAAAGAAGCAGTTTAATAGAGCTGAAAATACAGTGTTAAAATGTAATATAAGAGTCCTGATTACACCAGTGACCAAATTCCTGTGACAAATGAATTTTTTTAAATACATATTTTTTTGAATGTAGTATAACGTTAATGACATCAAAAGTAAACGTGAATCTGTTTTATACCAATTCCTAAGTTAAACCTCTTCAAATTATTGCTTTATGTTAAAAATGGTTTCTCAAATGTTGAAAAATCAGAAAAATCATAAGAGAAATGTGTTATTTAATCTTAGGTCAACTGTGTAAATGTGCATACCGGCTTTTGGAGCTGTGCCTCTTATCGTAAGCATCTTTTGAAGCCCTGCAACCTTTATGACATGGTTTCCCGCTTCAAATGGAGAATGACCCAGTTAGGTAACAGCTAGCCAAGGGTTTCGAACTCACTCCTGGTACCCACAGGTTCAAGTTTTCCCTGCCTCGACACACCTGAGCAATCTCATCAGGTAACGATAAAGCCCTTCATGAGCTTGAGCAGGTGTGCTGGGGCAGGGAACGGACTGGAGTTGATTACCCTTGGACTAGAACATCCTGTACTGCAGGTACAGCAACGCATATGCTAGGATGTCCCCTGCCGCAGATAAACAATGAGAGATGGTTGAACTAGGCAGGCCTTTGAAAAGGCTAGGACGGTATTTGGTTCCCAATTTCTAAATGAAATCACTGGTGTAATTGAGTCTGAACTGAAAGAATGAGGGACATTCTCAAGTGCCACAATTCGTAAAGTCATCAGTGATGACTTTAGTGGCCTAACCAAGCGTGCCGTGCATTCATCTCGTTCAGATTGTACTGACAAATGTTGTTCTCTGGTTCTGTGCACTGAAGTGTCACGTAGGCTCTTTTTTGCTGAATCTGCCTCTAAGACATGCTCCCAGACAAGCTGTAGTTTAGGTTGGCACGTTGCCACAGTGATTTGAGACAGAACAATCTCAGCAAAGTTCCTCTCTCAGGGGTGTTCAAAGGGAAACAAACATAGCGTTACGGTGCAGCACTCTACTGTTACTCTGACAGAAACTGTTGAATAATGTATGTATATGTATAAGAATTCTGTGCTTTTGTCATTAGCTTAAGACTTTAGTAGTTTTGAGGTCAGCCTTTTAAGTATTTATAAACCATTATACACTAGTCAATAATCAGCGAAGGTGCCTTTTGCCATTTCTCACTGTAAGTTCAGGAATAGTCAGCTTACTCAGTAAACAGCTAGCTTAGCTGCACTATATTGCCAACAGTATTCACTCACCCATCCAAATCATTGAATTCAGGTGTTCCAATCACTTCCACGGCCACAGGTGTATAAAACCAAGCACCTAGGCATGCAGACTGCTTCTACAGACATTTGTGAAAGAATGTGTCGCTCTCAGGAGCTCAGTGAATTCCAGCGTGGTACCGTGATAGGATGACACCTGTGCAACAAGTCATGAAATTTCCTCGCTACTAAACATTCCACAGTCAACTGTCAGTGGTGTTATAACAAAGTGGAAGCGATTGGGAACGACAGCAACTCAGCCACGAAGTGGTCGGCCACGTAAAATGACAGAGCGGGGTCAGCGGATGCTGAGGCGCATAGTGCGCAGAGGTCACCAACTTTCTGCAGAGACTTTCTTCAGATTAGCTCAAGAACAGTGTAGAGAGCTTCATGGAATGGGTTTCCATGGCTGAGCAGCTGCATCCAAGCCTTACATCACCAAGCGCAATGCAAAGCGTCGAATGCAGTGGTGTAAAGCACAAATGCGCTTCTGGAATAATGGTCAAAAATTCCCATAAACACACTCCTAAACCTTGTGGAATGCATTCCCAGAAGAGTCGAAGCTGTTATAGCTGCAAAGAGTGGGCCGACATCATATTAAACCCTATGGATTAAGAATGGGATGTCACTCAGTTTCATATGCGTGTGAAGGCAGACGAGCGAATACTTTTGGCAATATAGTGTATACAGTAAACCAGGGAACTTGTAGAGAGGAGAATTACCACTCTGCAATGTGTTCCGGGTTTCTCAGACACTAGAGGGCGCTCCCGAGCGAGTCCAAAATGAATGGGTTAAGACGGCGCATTTGAGCAAAAGCGCAGTTTGTAAATGCTGAAACATTTTAAATATAAAAGAATACATTCATCTCCTGAACACAGAACAGCATAAAACATTTTAACACTGCTATTATATTTTTAAGACCTTTTAAACTCGAGTTATAGGAGTTTAAAACGGCACCTCATGTACATCTATGACATCAGTGAGCGTGAACAGCCAATGAGCTGTTCCGGTCACCAACCAGTCAGCACTCAGTAGCAGTAATGCTAGCAAACAAATAAACAATAAAAAAAACAGGACCAGGACAAACAGCAATGTTCTGTATCAGAATGTAATTAGGCTTCTACTCCTTTGGAACAATTGTAGATTTTAGGCTGTGGCAGATCCTTATGTGTTTCACAATATGGCATTACCACCATCTCCACTCTACGCTACAGTCAGTTGTGAAATACTTCTGTCTCAATTTCCAAAAACGTTAATGTTAACATTTCATCAGACATCCTGAACTGGACACATGGCATTACAGTTGGACCTGTTGGTTTCAACTGCATCATCAGACTACAATTGGGCAAAATGACAATACGTTATCATTATTGTGATAAATAACAATACGCTTGTGTTGAGTATGTCATGGAGGTCATCAATACTTAAAGGACGCTGAACAACTGCATATATTAAAAAATACAGGTTCACTTTATCTGGATAGTCCACTTTAGAAGCTTTGTGGATACTTAATTTACTTTCAAGTTACATTCAACTAAATATCTACTAAATTGACCTTAATCTTCTTTAACTCTAAACCTGCTCTAATCCTAACCCTAACCTTAACCTCAACCCAAAACCTAGACCTAACCCTCAGCCTGGTCTTAGCCCTAACCCCAGTCCAAATCCTAACCCTAACCCCACCACTGTTTGGAATCAACTGAGTTTCAACAGATAGTTTGTTAAAATGTGAACATCTGTAGAT